AATCCTCATGGTCAAAATTACCAAATAATCATGGGGCTACAATGAGGGTAGGAAATAAATGCAATAACCACCACTGGAGAAAAATTACTGGGGAAACTAATGGGGCAAAAAGCCGATATGATCCCTGGGCCTGATGGGTTGCATCCTAGGATTTTGAAGGAAATAACTGCAGAAGCAATGGATGCAGTGGCAGTCATGTTTGAAAATCTTTACATTTGGGAATGTCCCAGAAGAATGGAAAACTGTCAATGTAACACCCCTACTCAAAAAGTGAGGGAGATAATAAACAGGTAATAATAGGCAGTTAGCTTAACATATGGTGCTGAGAAAATTAGCATCTATTATAAAGGATGTAATGGGAGACCAGTTAGAAATTCATGATATAATCAGAGTCAGCACGGCTCAATGAAGGGTAAATCATTCTCGACAAATCTATTAGAGTTCATTGAGGAGGTAACAGGCAGGATAGACAGAGGAACCAGTAGATGTAATACATTTGGATTTTTGAAAGGCATTTGATAAGGTACCATACGTAAGGCCCCTTAAGCTAAGAGTCCATGGTGTTGATAGTATTGGCATGGATAGAGGATTGGCGAACTAATAGAAGACAGAGTGTTTGGGATAAAAGGGGTTTTTCAGGATGGTAACTTGTAACTAGTGGAGTGCCACAGGGATCAGTCCTAGAGCCACAATTATTTACAATATAAAATAATGACCTGAATGACAATAAACCATTACCAAGCTTGCAAATAACCCAAAAAGAAAGAGCACAAGAGTCCACCGAGAGATATAAACAGATTAAGTGAATGTCAAAAACTTAGCAGATGGAATATAAAGTTGAAATATGAGGTTATGCTCTTTGACAGGAAGAATTATAGAATCCCTACAGTGTGGAAGAAATGTATTTGGCCTATCAAGTCCATACCAACCCTCTGAAAAGCATCCCACCCAGACCCACCCTCACCTTAGCCCTGTAACCCTGCATTTCCCACAGCTAATCCACCTATCCTGCACATCTTGGACTGTGGGAGGAAACTGGATCACCCAGAAAAAAAACACACAGACACAGGGAGAATGTGCAAACTCTACACGGACAGTCGCTCAAGGGTGAAATCGAAATGGGATCCCTGGTGCTGTGAGGCAGCACTGACCCACCATGCCACTCCAAAGAATAGAAGAGTTGAATATTATTTAAATGTGGAAAGACTGCAGAAAGCTACGGCAAAGAGAGATTTGAGAATCCACGTGCATAAATCACAAAAAGTTAGCATCCAAATTCTGTGGTTAATAGGGAAGGCAAATGGAATGCTGGCCTTTTTATCAAGGGGAATGGAGTATATTAGGAAGGTGAAGTCCTAATGGTATTATTGGCGGATTGTTAATTCAGAGATCCCAGTTATGTTTTGGGCCCCAGGTTTGAATCCTGTCATGACAAATGGTAGAATTTGAGTTCAATGACTTCTATGAATCCATTGTTGATTATTGAAAAACCCATCTGGTTCACTAACATCCTTTAGGGGAGGAAACTGCCATCCTTGACTGGTCTGGCCTACATATGACTCCAGACCCACAGCAATGTGTCTGACTCTGAACTGCCCTCTGGGCAATTAGGGATGAGCAATAAATGCTGGCCTAACCAGCAATGCCATAATCCTATTAATGAATAAAAAATATTAAGGTGGTTTTGCTAAAATTATACAATGCAGATCACAGCTGGATGAAAGTGAACAGTTATTTTCCCTTATCTAAGGAAAGATATGCTGGAATTAGAGGCAGCCTAAAGAAGGTCTTTCATTTGAGGAGAAGTTGAGTAGGTTGAATTTGTACTCATTGAAGTTTATAAGAAGGATAGATGGCCTTATCAAAGCGTAAGATTCTTAAGGGACTTGACAGAGTGGATGGAGAAAGGTTGTTTTCCCCCATGGAGGTGTTTAAGACCAGAGGGAATAATCTCAGAGTTAGGGGACACCCATTTATGACAGACACGGACATGATTTACTCTCTCTGTGGGTAATGCATTTGTTGAATACTGCATAGGATTGTCGAGGCTGGGTCATTGAGTATATTCAGGGCTGAGATAGATAAATTTATAATCATTAAGGGAACCAAGGGCTATGGTGAAAAAAACAGGGAAGTTGGGTTGAGAATTATCAGATCAGCCTGATCGCATTGAATGGCATAGTGGCCTTGAAAGGGCTGAATGGCCTACTTCTGCTCCTATGACTTATTGTCTTACTACCATCTGCCACTGCTGGTTTGATCTGGCTTCTAGTAATATCATCAGAGATAAGAATGCATCAGGGAGTTACACTGACACAGGATTTTCGAAGCTTTTCTTCCCCAGTCCTACTTCACAACCTATCTTCATGTCATCAGGAAGATTCCACTCCAATCTATGTAATCTGGCACCTTCCAACATTGGTATCATTCTAGTGAATTTACTTGGTATTCCATCGAAAGCAATAGATCCTTTTTGATGTGCAGTGCCCAGAACTAAACACAGTTCTCCAAATGGGGTCTAAGTAGCCATAATTCTACTGGACTATAGGGCTGCTCTCTCTTTATAGAGAAAGATGACTGGTGGTGGTTTAACCTGAGAGTCGCCATATCTCAGGCAAGGGGAGAGGTTGAGAAGGAGAGCCTTTCATGGTAACCACAGGCAGTGCAGGAATTGAACCCATGCTGATGGTGTCCCTGTGCACCAACAACAAGCCTTCCAGGCAACAGAGCTAACTGACCACCTCCAACTAAAGTTTACATTAGTGTAGCATAATTTCCATTAGTTTGTATTTGAATGAAGCCTGATCATCCAGTAAACATTACAACTTTTTTAACACATAACCACCATTTTGTTATAATATCTGTGTGTTGTCTTCCAAATTTCTCTGGTCCTCTACCATTCCTAGTTTCTCACCATGTGAAACACACTCTGAGATAAGGAGTGATGAAACCATGGATGGATTTTTAAACAATAGTCTTAAAATGAGAATTTTAAAATCAAGTAAAACCAAAATACTGCAGATGCTGGAAATCTGAAAGAAACACAGAGAATGATGGTGAAACTCAGCAGGTCTGGCAGCATCTGTAGAAAGAGTCAGTGTGAACATTCACATTTGATAGGAATGGATCTAAAGAAGTCACACAAGACTTGAAACATTAACTCTGTTACCTCTCAACACATGCTGCCAGACCGACTGAGATAAACACCATTCTATGTTTTAAAATCGAGACTTTGCTTAACTGAGAATCAGTGTAGGTCACTGAACCAGAAATGAGAGGGGACAGGGCTTGCTTGGAAGTGGGCAACAGAGTTTTGGATGATTTCAGGTTTAGAGATGGTAGATTGTGGAAGCCACATCAGGAGTGTGTCGGAAGAGTTGAGTCTACAAATCATAAAGGTTATAATAATTGGCAGCAGATGAGCTGAGGAGGGGCTAAGTTGGGCAATGTTATGGAGGTAGAAACAGATGGACTTAATAATGGCACTACTATGAGGTTGAAAGTTTATATTAGGATGAGATGTGACACCAAGGTTTGCAAACAGACTGGCTTCATCTTAGGCCGTTGCCAAAGAGACAGTGGAGTCAGCAGCTAGCGTAAAGATTTTGGAAAATGTCAATGTTATAAAGATCAGTGTCATAAACTTCATCTTCCTGTCTACAAGGCAGTCTTTCGTCCACTCACTGAACATACAGGAGTCAGATACACCAGCATATCAATAACCATGTATTTTAATGTACTCCCTCGAAAGATCAGTCTCCCTCTTGGCATCTTTTTACAGATGAACATTTTAGGAAGTAGTGAAAACAGAAAATGCTGGAAATCACAGCAGGCCAGGGAGTATTCACAAAGATACAGCTAATGTTTCGAGTCCAGATGACTGTTCATCAGAACTGATGTGAATATGGATGGGGCAGCATTTATGCAATAGTTGGCAGGGGAGGGTAGAGTTCTGGGGGAGAAAGGGTGTTCACAGTGCAGATTCGGTGATTGGAAGGTGAGAGTGGCAGAACAATCGTGTGTGTAACTGCTAAACTGGAAAGAACAGTCATACTGGAGTGGGGGGAGGAGAGAGAGCACATGGTGACAGAGAATGGAACAAGCAAAGCTAAAAGAAAGGGAAGGAATGGGAGTAGGTTCACAATCTGATGGTGTTGAACTCAATATTAAGTCCAGGAAGTTGAAGTGCCGAGGAAGGTGTTGGAAGGTTGCACTCATGGGTTGCCAGCTCACTGTTGGCTAGTTAGGCCTCTCTGTGACTGGCAGTTTCGCCCACAGTGGGTGCAAGGAAAAGTGAAATTGCTGCTGTGAACAATTCAATCTCTCTCCTTCTTTTCTCTCTCTTTGCTTACTCTTAAATCTGTAGCAGTCTGCACCATTCATTGGCAACGGTAAATGTAGCATACAGCATGAGACTTCTTCAGGGAGAAAGTGAAGGATTTCTAAGGTTGTACTTGAAGATAGTTATGCAGCACGTAGCAACAGTTAGACAGCCTGGGTATATCTATATTCATTCATCATCAGAACAGGTGAGCTTCCTGTTGGCATTATGAATATGAATTTGTATTACTTGAAGTGCGCATAGCTGAATGTGTCTAACTAGCATCTATTCAATTTGTATCACTTTTAATTTTCACTTCCGTTATTCAAACTGGAGTGGATGTTCAGGGAGTAGGCACTCTTTACACATCATTATGAAGGCAGCTGGGGAAAAGAAATCCGGGAGAGAAAAAAAATCACTAAGCAGCATGAAGTTTCACTGAAAGCCCAACCACGGAAGATGCTCAACTGATATCCCCCAGTGTCTCAGCAGCTTTTCATCTCGACCCCGGTTGGAGTGCCTCACCGTTGACTGTTCGCTACTTCTGTTTGCCAGTCGCTGTGGAAACCCTGCAGTGAGTTGTGGGGGGTGGGGGTGCAGAGTCAGAAAGGATTTTAACTTGAAACCAAATAAGGGCACACGCCTGGGTGCTGAGGGTTGATGTCAGTGCTGGGGATTGAGTGCCAGCAAGGGAGGGAAGCGCTCAGGCGTTGCTCAGCGCTCCTTCCCGTTGTCCCTATCCACCGGGCTCCCGGGGGCGGGGGAAACGGTCCCGGGAGCGAATGGACGGAGAGTTGGGCGGGCCGGGCCGGCGAGACAAGTTCATTTAAAGGAGCTTCTGGCAAAACAGCGTGAGCGGACAGGGAAGGCAAAGGGGCTACAAGTCTCTTTAGGAGGAGAGGAGAACATTTAAAAAAAGTAATCTATTCGAGTTGATTGGTGACTAACACGGATAATAATAAAAGACAAGATGCCGCAAAACGTGGTTTTGGCAGGACCAGGTCCGTGGGGTTTTAGACTGACCGGTGGGGCGGATTTTAACCAGGCTCTGACCGTCTCCCGGGTGAGTTACATTTCTGTGTGTCCTCTACACTTGCGGGCTCCAAAGTTGACTGCATTTGCAGTGCTGTATGGCTGGGGGCGGGGGGCTATGCATTATTTTACAATTTCTGCACGGGTATGATTCCCACACAGTGCCGTGTCTCCAGGGTGCAAGATCCGAGCTGAGAGCTTGTCACAAGCTGATCTCCCCCCAGGAGCCATCAATGACGAGGTGGAATAAGCGAGACTCCTGTAATGTGCCTTCACCTCTCTTGCTGCACAGTTCCTCGGACATAGTAGAAGCGAAGTTTATTTTAAACGTCAAGGTGTTTTTGTTTTTCAAAACGGTAAATGCTAACGGAGAAACACCTCACTCAGCACCTGATATGATGTTGCTGAACTTCCTGGGAATCGCCAACGTTGCTTGACATCTCTTACAAGCACAAATGCTGCGGATGGTGGAAATCTGACCGAGAGTGCTGTAAATACTCTGCAAAGCTGACAGCACCCGGGGAGAGAAACAGGGTTACCACTGCAGCCCTTCTCCAGTTCGGAAGCGTTACTTTCCCCTGTTTCTCTCCACAGTTGCAACTTGACCTGTGGAGCCTTTACAGCATTAAACCTTTATCTTTATCATTAATGCCAGCATTAACCATTTTCATTGTTTATGCCTGACTTGGCGATTAGAGAGAAATTGAATGAATATAGCAGCAGTTTTCCCTAAACAGACACCTTTCACTTATGAATGCTGTTTGTTCGGCATTATCCACCATTTTCCTGGTGATTGGGAGTAATCTGGTGGGACAGGAATTGGCAGGATTATATTGACCTACCTCTGGGGGTTAAGACATACCTGGACATTTATACTATAAAACAAAATTCTGAATAAACACAGCTGATCTGGCAGCATCTGTGGGGACACGAGCAGAATTCTGAGTACGATTCTGCTTCACACTCAAAACGTTAACTCCGTTTCTCTGTCTACAGATGCTGAGTTTCTCCAGCAACCACAGTTCTTTCAGGTCTGCACAATGTTGAGTAGATGCCAATGTTGTAGCTGCTCTGGGACAGCCAGGCAAGCTGCAGTTTGGATCCAGCTGCTCCTTGATATTAAGTGAACGGAATGGACTGAAGAACTCTGTGAGTTAAGGGTGGAGCTTCAGGACGAGAACAAAGTGAAACTTCCTCTAGACTTTCTGGTGGAATCAGTTGAAAATACTTCAACTTTTCCCTTAGCTTTGACCTGTTCGACTTTACCATCATTAATGGAGCAATTCATACACTCTTTTGCAACACACACACACACACACACACACACAGACACAACTGTCTACTAGTGTTCCTGACTAGAGTTAGCAGAATTGATCTGTTTGGTTGTGGGATCACTTACCACTATGCTGCTTCTGCTGTCTAGCATGCATGTAATCCTGTATTGGACCTTCATGAAGCTAACAACTCATTTTTTTAGGTGCTGTTCCTGGTGTGCCCCGTGCCTTCCTCATTGAATCTGTGTTGGCCGTCTGGCTTGATGCTAGTAGTAGTATGGTAGATCTGCTGAGCTACAGATTGTGATTATTATGACTGTTCTGCTGCTGATGCTTGTTCTCAGTAGCTCACAAATGTCCAATTTTCAACTGCTAGATCTGTTCTGGATCTATTGCATTTCACACAGTGGTAGTGCCACAATGAAATGGATGTCACCCGTTGTACCAAGGCAGATAGTAGTCTCCACAAGGACTGCGGACTCTGGCCATGAAGTCTGTTTCTATCTTAATATGTGCCCAACCCATCGGTGTTCAGTCCACACCAGCAACATACAATTCTCCCAGGATTACAACTCCCTCCTACTTTTGATGACGTGGTCCAGATTCCACCCAAACACCCAAAACAAAGGAAAGATGGTAGAGGTTATCAAAGTCCAATTATTTCAGCCCCAGGACATCACTATAGGAGTTCCTCAGGGCACCAGGCCTAACTACCTTCAGTTGCTTCTTCAAAGACCTTCCTAAGGCTTAAGTAGAGAAGTTCGCTGATGATTGTGCAATGTCCAGTGCCATTTGCTGCTCATCAGATACTAGAATCATCCCTGCTTTTAGGCAGCGAGACCTGAACAACATTCAGCTCATTACATTTGTGCTACACAGGTGCCAGGCAATGACCTTCTTTTCCAAGAAAGAATCTCTCCTTGGTAAGCAAGTTGTTAAATTACCTGAGGTGGGCACAAATGTGAATTTGTGATCACAATCAGATCAACCACAATCTTTTTAAATGGTGGGGGTCTGAATTGCCTACTTCTGCATCTTGTCTATCTGTTATTGTCACTGAATATGCCACTGTCAATATCCTGGGAATCACTGTTGACCAGGAATTTAACTGGAGCAGCCATTTGGGTGGCTCGGAGGTTAGCACTGCTGCCTCACAGCACTAGGGACTCAGGCTCAATTTCAGTCTTGGGTGACTTTGTGTGGAGTTTGCATGTTCTTCCTGTGTCTGCATGGGTTTCCTCCCACAGTCCAAAGATGTGTAGATTAGGCAGATTTGCTGTGCTAAATTGCCCGTAGTGTCCCAGGATGTGCAGATTAGGTGGGGAGTCATGGTAAAAATGGGGTGGCCCTGGGTGGGATGCTCTTCATAGGGTCAGTGCAGACTCAATGGGCTGAATGGCCTCTCTCTGCACTGCATGATTCTATGTAACTTTTTTCCATCAGTTGCCTTCATGGAAACTTTCAAGGCAATCTTTTGAAATAATAGTCAGACAATGAAACAAAAATGTATGGTGTTATTTGGCATAATATCACATTGCAGTTGGTTTTCCTTCATTTGTGAAGGTGGTCATTGTTATGTCTTGGATGAAAAGAATGTGCTGGTAATACACTCCAGTTCTCCATACATCATACCAAAAATGTAAATGTTTTAACGAATCACCGAGATAGTCAATTTGTCTCTCTTTTGTGCTGCTATCCAGAATAAGAGAAATGACCACTGGGTTTTTTTTTAATGAAGCCAAACATAGCTCATTTATTATAAGCAAGATGTATTCTTTAAACAAGTGACAAAAATGATTAACAATGAAAGTAGTATTCAGAATTAAACTATGTCCCCTTCATCCCAAACATACACAGACAAGTCAGGACTATGGAGCTCTGAAAGATGGTATGAGTTTGAAAAAAACTCGGCAAAAAAGAACAATACCCTTGTGGGGCAAGTATATGAATTCAGAGACGGAAGGGGTTCAGTTGTCACAGCTCCTTTGATTCCCTTATAACAAGACCAAATTGCTAGCAGTCACAGAAGGATGCAAGACTAGCTTTTAGATTCAGATTGGAAACTATTAGGAAGTCTAATATTTGAAACTTCATCAGATTTCACAAATTACTTCATTGAGAATTTGTTCAGATAGTTTTACCTTGTCTCTTCCTGGTTGAGAGAGACAGAGATCTCTGCTTTCCCTGCAAGTTACTCCAACCGCCCAAATCTAGGCCCATGAAAACCCACAAACTTCAGACACTGCTGTTCGGCAATGAACAGCACACAATCAAGTCTGGTTGTGCAACAATTAAGGGCTAGAAAATATGCTTCTTATCTCTCTTAAGGGCTTTTCTGGGCTCTTTTCCCCAAATTGCTTGCTTTTTCAGTAAACAGCAGATAATCTAAGTACTCTTTGACCTTTTGACTTTGCATTTTGAAGAAATCAAATGATAAATGCTCGTAAAACCAGAAATGTTTAAACAGTTCTGTTTTCTAGTTTCTCGTAGTGCATAAGTATTTATATACTCCTAACACTTTCATTTTTGCGTGTGAAGTTATTCGTTCTGAATTCTAATGTTGCTCTGGAACCTGACTGCAGATGTAGAACACTCTCCACAGTGCAGACAAAGTGAATTGTCTGATTTTGTCGGGACTGTCCAGTCTTTCTGGCTTGCCCATACTCATTGCCGTTCAAAGGAAACAGCACCACTACTTGAGATAGGTACACCTACCTAATTCTTGTGCATTTTCTCCCAGATGGTACATATCCTGAGGTTTACCTTCAAGGAATCCCTGTACCTTAGTCTCAGTCAGAAATCACATGACTCCAGGTTATAGTCCAACAGGTTTATTTGAAAACACAAGCTTTCTGAGCCCCACTCCTTTTTCAGGGGTTAGTGAGAGAGGTGTTATCAGACTCAGAATTTATAAGTAAAAGATCAAAGGGTCACAACTGATGAAGATGTATTAAACAAACCTAAGATGCTGTTAAATCTTTAATCACTTAGAAGGTTTTGATTGATTAATAGGTATATGTAAATCTCCAAATTTCTTTCAAGTCACCGCCCTGAGAGAACTAAAGGTTTTATCAGTGCAAAGAAGAGATGACATTTTAGGTCAGAAAATGCCCGTTAGGTCTGAAGCCTTGTTTAGAATTTGTTTGTGTTTTGGTTTGGAGTTAGACTGGTTTTATTTCTAAAGTAGGAATTTATAAAACACCACATTCAAAAAGCACACAATCTATAGACAAAATAGAATGTATCTCCAAATACAAATTCACCCTATAGATTTACATGCGTGTGTGTATGTGTGTGTGTGTGTGTGTGTGTATATAGTGTGGTGGGGTCACCTGTAGTGCGACATGAACCCAAGATCCCAGTTGAGGCTGTCCTCATGGGGACCAAACTTTGCTATCAGCCTCTGCCTGGCGACTGTACGTTGTTGTGTATCTTGAAGTCCGCCTTGGAAGATGTTTACCCAAAGATCCAAGGCTGAATGTCCGTGACCGCTGAAGTGTTCACCCACTGAGAGGGAACATCCCTGTTTGATGATTGTTGCGTGTGGTGTCCATGCATCCATTGTTGTAGCGTCTGCATGGTTTTGCCAATATACCATGCCTCGGGGCATCCTTGCCTAAGTGTATGAGATTAGACAATGTTGGCCAAGTCACATGAGTATCTGCCATGCAGGTGATGGGTGGTGTTCCCGCCTGTGGTGTTAGTGTCCATGTCGAAGATCTGACATGTCTTGCAGAAGTTGCCATGACAGGGTTAT